GGCTTGCCTAAGAGCCAACATGTAATGCTATTACACTACCTAGAGCCAAAAGTGTTTGGAAAATTAGAAAATAAAGGTAAGCAAAGGGAAAATGCAATAAGTAAAGAAAAATACAGAAAAATAATAAATTTATCTACTTTGCAAGGAAAATAACAACTTAAAAGAAAATCTAAATTACCATTAATATGTTTTTGGGAAACAAAAATGGTGACTAATTTTTCACTCCGATGCGGAACAAAACAACAATAAAAAGATGAATTTCCCATGCTACGAACAAGTGGAAATTGACATGAACTAAAATGAACATTCTGATGATTCATATATTGTTTTACACTGAACTCTTTATAATGTTAAGTAGAAATTTGAAAATTTAAAACAAATGGGAAAGAAATATGTAAACTTTAGGTCCATAGACCATTTCCAACCCAACACTTTCTGTTTCATCAAATTTAAGTATGATGAAAACAGATGCTTTTTCTTACTACAATCATTTCACCAAATAAGTATCAAATTCAGGATTTCTCAAATCTTTTATCAAATTGAGGATGGATGTGCCTTTCATTAAATCACTGTTCACAGTCATTGGAGCTGCATGTCATTTTTACCACCGGATGACCGGTCAGATATCCGGCTAGTTGTCCTCCTGAACGATCACTTCCTTGCAAAAATTTGTGAAAAAATTACATTGGTTGGTTGACCGGTCTAACATTTGTCTGGTCGTTCGTTCAGTCGACCAGTGTTTTGATGAAAATTTCAAATCCTCCGTTGGAGGGCGTGATATTAGATGTAGTTTTTATTCAAATTTAATAAGTAAATAAAAAAGATACAACGTTAAAGATACTCTTAGTTGTTTTGGAAGGACCTTTCTTGTAAGATTCACTTGATTTTTGAACTTTACCCTTTCAGATTATTTTATCACTGTCGCTTTGTCCCCTATATTCTAATTAGGAATGGATTCCTTCGGCATGCGACCCACTACGGATCTCGCTTTAATGATTTAAATTATTTATTTTTTTTGTCTCTTTTTATATGTCATCCACAAAAAAAGAAAAAAAAAAAAAGAAGTTAATATGATTATTGTATCCAAAAAATAAATGGTTTATTTTTAAAAATATGTTTGCGTTTTATTTTTTTATTTTTTATTTTTATAGACAAACAAGATAAATTAGATATATTATATTTATCAAATCGACTTAATTTTTTTTTTATGTGAATGATATATACGAAGAATTTAGCAAAATAAATAATTTAAATTATCGAAACGGATGAGTTCCGAAAAACGCCTTTAAGTCTATTTTAATTATATTATTTCGTACTTTTATTTAATTGTTATTAGTCTATCACCCGTGCTATGCACGGGATAATTATAAATATTTATATTTGTTTTAGATTTTTTTTAAAATGTGAATTATCATTTTTATATAATTTTTAAACTGAGACAACCATTTATAAAAAATAATTTTTTACAAAAATAAAAAATAATTTTCATTTTTATATGATTTTTATCTTTCGAGTGGTTAGAAATAATTTTTTACAAATTAAATTGAAACAACCATATGCATGTATATAACCTGCCCAAAAGTTAAAATGATAATTATTTTTTATCCTTAAATGATAATTATTTTTTATTTTTTATTTCTTAACCAAATTAATTTTTAATTTTAAAAAAAAAATTCTAAAAATCAAACCATACATAGCCTAAGAATCTTTTGATAAGTCATTTCTTACGTTGCTAACTTATTTAATTATTTGTTAATTTTACGACATTTTTACCATCTGAGGCATGTTTGGTAACCATTTCGTTTTCAGTTTTCAACTTATATTTACAAAAATTTTAAAAAATATCATAAAAATTTATTTGATAATTTTTTTGGTTTATAAATTGTTGTCTCAGGCCTCGTTTGGCAACTGTCTTTTTTAGCCAAAAAGTTAAAAAGTTACTAAAAAAATTAAAAAGCAAACAACTTATACAAAAAAGTCAAAGATTCCATTTTCTCTCTACTTTTTGCACATTTTTTCGTAAAAAGTGAAAAAGTCATCTCAAAAATACTAATTTTTTTTACATCATATTTTAGTCAAAAAGTCAAAAAGTTACTAAAAAAGGCATGTTTCCAAACAAGGCCTCAGTTTGTAAATTTGAGAAAAAAACGTAAATTTAAAAAATGAGTTTACGTTAGTTTTTAAACAGAAATTTAAAAATTTTATTAACAAAAAAAATTTTCAATTAATTTTTTTCCAATTAATTTTTTATTTTAATGAATTTTTTTTCCAACTAATACTAACCGATGGGGCAATTGGTAATGCTACTTTAAACCTTAGGGAGGAGATTGTAATTTTTAAAATATGAGGGATGTTAATGTAATTTACTCAGTGAGGGCAAAATTGGTATTTAAAAAAATTAAATTGCTAAAAGAAAAATCTGTAATGAAACTTTAAATCTTAGAAAGAGAGATATAATTTCTAAAATGTGAGAAGGAAACTATAATAAATATAAATCTCAAGGTGTCATTGTAAATTGCCCTTTAAATAAACTGCTGGGATGCTCTTACATGAAATGCACAACTTAATACAGATCCCATTTTTGTACTCAACTTTAAAATAATAATATAAGTAATGCAAATTGTCAGGAAAAAAAAATCTATTTATTTCAACTTTAAAAATGTAACACCTCGAAAAATTGGGCCGGGTATATCTATTTATGCAACAAATCCACCCGATAGACAAACACATATATATAGCTAACTATTCCATACATCCATTTCCATTTATTACCAAATGCCATAGACATGCTATTCACATCTCAATGCCCGAGTTCTAATTCCAAGCATGCATTTTATAACAAGAATGAAATGGAAGCCAAACAGATAATAAGTGCCCTACAAGCTTACAAACTTCTCCAAGAACATTCTTGGTTACACAAAATGGAGTTTCAACTCAATGCAGATACAGCCCTAGGCTTACATTCAATAAATAACAATAAAACAAAAATGAAGTCTCAGCTCCGAGCCCTCCCAAGTCAATGCCTTGGCGGAGACATAGCACTTGTACCTGAAATAGTTTCTCTTATAAGGTGTGTCACAGCCCAGTAGAGATGTATTACCCAACATATGGATCATGACAAGACTAAAGAGAAGTATGCTCATACCATGCTCATGATAAAATAGTTTATCTCTCTTTTTATAAAGCATGCAATGTTGAAATGCAACAACTGATATAAAACCATTTTCCATTTTAAATCATATCTGTTACATGAATACAGGCTCTGTGAATCTCTAGGTAAGTGTCTACAAGTAGGTCTTAATGCACTACCACTGTCATTTTTATTAGTAAACTGGAAGGCTCGACACCGAACCGCACGGTTCTACACCTCCTACCTAGATAAACCAAGTATTCATTTTTTTTGCAAACAGATACATTTCCAAACATTTCTCAAAAACAGATACATTCCACTGAAATGAATGTAACGCAATGTTCAATGCAACAAATGAGAAATGTGATTCAATTTACCTATGTCTCATGCATTTCTACAATAATCATGGTTATCCTTCACCGATAGCCCAAAACAGATATTTAAACAATTAAATTTCAAAAAATCTGATAAATACAATCTATTCCACATCTCATCAAATATGAACAACTACACTAGTTTTCATATCACAATCATGTCCGATAACCTCTTAAGGTCCATTTCTAACCGTGTCGGTTTTATTCAAACAGATGCATTAAGCAAAATAATACTATTAATGCCCAAGAAAACATCATTTTCTATTCAAACTCATACTCCAAGCATTATTCAACTATGACATCCTATTTTGATCAAAAGCCCCCAAAGGCAAACATAATTCCTTTATTTTCTTTAAAAATACTCTTTTGGTTGCAAATTGGTAAAAATTTCAAAACCGATCGAATCAAAGTCCGTTTTTGTTCAAATTTAAAACATATCTTTTTTATAACCTTACAAACATATTCCAAGTTTACACTTTCGTAATTTGGGCATTAACTCTTTATTTTTCTCAAAATTTCTCTTTTAAACAAATAAATCACAATTTTTTCAAAAATTCTAATTAAATTATATACAACTCCAAGCTCCATATAATCAAGTAAAAGTGCATAAAGAAATGTAGGAAAAATCCCTACATCAACCCGAGAAGCTTTCAAAAAAATTTTGGCAACGGAAATTAAATCTGTTCGGAGCCAAATGACGCCTTTTTTGCCCTCTACGTTTTGATCCAAAGCACTAGGGGTCAAAAATGACTTACACTAAATCAAACCCATGAAAAACCAACTTGGAACCCCTTTTTTTCTTCTTTTCTCTCGGCAATCTCCCAAAAGTTGAAAAAAAGAAATCTAAACAAATATCTAACTAAACAAATATATATATATATATATATCAATTTAAAAATATCTAACCACAACAAATATCTAACCATATATATATACACCTATATGTATAAATTTAAAAATATTTCAACATCTTTAATGACAAAAGTAAATATAATATTTTCTCACCACAAAATATATTTTGTTTAATGGTACACACCATAAATATTCACAACTCTTTTATGATAATCAAATAATAATAATAAAACCAAAACAGTATTACATGGTTACTAACAGGTCATGATTCAATCAATTGGGCCCAAAATGAATGGAATTTAATAATTTAAAATAAATCCCCAACTGAGATTGAAGTATAAATTCAATTTGATTCGACTCGTTACAAACTTCCTCCCATAAGGAATTTCCTCCCCGAAATTTAAACTAGATAACCTTGCTGAATGAAAATCAATTACAACTGTAGAAATGGAATCATGGTATGATAACACAACCTCCCAATTAGACATAAGAAATTCACCCTGTTCCATAACATATACAATGAACATCCTAATATCAAAATAACATTTCTATTACAACTCTCAAACGTCAATAAAAAAGTCTGGATACTTCTCACAGACTTCAGCCTCGCGTTCCCAATTCGCCTCCTTAACCCCGTGGTGTCTCTACAACACTTTCGCCAAGGGAATTGTCTTGCCACGCAAGACCTGATCCCGAGTGTCTAAGATCTTCACTAGTCTCTCCTCATAAGAGACATCTTCTTCCACCTCTAACTCAGTCCAATCCAACACATATGATGGATCGGGCTCGTATTTCCGAAGCATAGAAATATGAAAAACATCGTGAACTCCAGATGGTGGTGGCGGCACAGCTAACCGATATGCCACTTCCCCAATGCGCTCCAAAATCTCAAGAGGCCCAATAAAGCGCGGAGACAACTTCTCCCTCTTCCGAAACTCATCAAACCCCGCTTAGGTGAGATCCTAAGAAATACATGATCCCCAATCTCAAAAGATAATGGCCTCCTCCTATTGTCAGTGTAGCTCTTCTGACGACGCTGAGCTGTAACCAACCTCTTACGAATAAAAGCAATCATTTTCGTCATTTCCCAAACCAACTCTGGGCCTATCATAGGTGCATCACCCACCTTGGCCCAATACACTGGGGATCTACACGGTCGGCCATACATGGCCTCAAATGGTGCCATGCCAATACTCGGCTGGAAACTGTTGTTATAGGCAAACTCCACTAAAGGCAAGTGTTTCTCCCAAAACCCCTTGAAATTAAGGACACAACCTTGAAGCATATCCTCAAGGATTTGAATAGTACGCTCTGACTGTCCGTTAGTCTGGGGATGATAGGCGGTGTTAAAAGTCAACTTAGTGCCTAAGGCACTCTGTAGGCTCTGCCATAACCGAGCCGTAAAACGTGGATCTCTATCTGAGACAATAGTCACTGGAACCCCATGAAGTCAAACTATATCTCGAATATAAAAGTCAGCAAGATGATCTACGGAGTCACTCATGCGCATAGGTACAAAATGAGTTGACTTAGTTAGCCGATCCACAATCACCCAAATGACATCACTACCCCGCTGAGTCTTTGGAAGACCCACAACGAAGTCCATAGTGACATGCTCCAACTTTCACTCGGCAATAGGCAAGGGTTGCAACAAACCCGCTAGCCTCTGGTGCTTGGCCTTCACTTGCTGACAAGTAAGGCATCTTGATACAAACAATGCTACGTCCCTCTTCATCCCCTTCCACCAAAACTGGTGGCTAAGATCATGGTACATCTTCGTACCTCCCGGATGCACTGCAAGACATGAGTGATGAAACTCATGGAGTACCTCCTCCCGACAAGACTCTGGCACAAAAAGTCGATTAATATATCTAATACTTGAATCAAAATGCACATTCAGACCCCTCTCCACCTTACCACTAGCAATCTTCTCCTAGATGGTCTCAATCTCCAGATCACCCCTCTGTGCCTCAATAATTCGGCTCATTAGTGTAGGCTGTGCAACTACAGTAAACAAGGTAGCCAACTCAGTAGACTCGCCAAGATGCAAGTGAAACTCGCTGATAACACCCAACATCTCCTATTCCCGAACGGCAATACAAGCTGCATTGCCGCAGGATTTCCGACTCAAAACATCGACCACAACATTGGCCTTCTCGTGATGATAATGTAACTCGAAGTCATAGTCCTCCTTGAACTCCATCCACCTCCTCTGTCTCAGATTCAAATCCTTTTGAGAAAACAACTACTTCCGACTCTTATGATCCGAGAACACCTCGAATCTCTCGCCGTAGAAATAATGCCTCCAAATCTTCAGGGCAAAGATCACTGTTGCTAACTCTAAATCATGAGTAGGGTAGTTCCTCTCGTGAATCTTTAACTGTCGTGAAGCATAAGCAACTACCTTTCCCTCTTGCATCAAGACACTGCCCAAACCTTCTTGAGATGTGTCACAATATACAGCATAACCCAAACCCCTCTTTGGGATAATCAAAACAAGAGCAATAGTGAGTCTAATTTTTAACTCCTGAAATGACTTCTCACAAGTCTCACTCCACACAAATTTGATTCCCTTCCTCGTCAGTCTGGTCAATGGAGCGGCCAGACTAGAAAAGTCTTTCATAAAATGGCGATAATACCCGGCCAACCCTAAGAAACTCTGGATGTCAAAGGCGTTCTTGGGTTGCCCCCAATCTTGCACTACCTCTAACTTGGAGAAATCCACAGTTACCCCTTCCCCAGATACCACATGGCCTAAGAACTTCACATCTTTCAGCCAAAACTCACGCTTCCCGAACTTAGCATATAACTGATGGACTCTAAGTAACTCCAACACAACCTGCAAGTGTTCCTCGTGCTCCTCCTCAAAGGGTGAATAAATCAGAATGTCGTCAACAAAGACAACCACAAAACGATCAAGATACTCACGAAAAACCCGATTCATTAGGTCCATAAACATGGCCGGTGCATTAGTCAACCCAAAAGGCATGACTAGGAACTCATAGTGGCCATACCGTGTACGGAATGCCGTCTTCGGGATGTCCTCCTCTCTCACCCTCAACCGGTGATAACCGAATCTCAAGTCTATCTTTGAAAAACAAGAAGACCCTTTCAACCGATTAAACCAATCGTCTATACAGGGCAATGGGTACTTGTTCTTAACAGTCCCCCTGTTCAGTTTTCGGTAATGAATACAAAGCTGTAATGTACCATCCTTCTTTTTGGCAAAAGGGCTGGTGCTCCCCAAGGCGAAGTACTAGGGCGGATAAAACCCTTGTCTAGCAATTCTTGGAGCTAAATCTTCAACTCACTCAACTCAACAAGTGCAAATCTATATAGAGCCATGGAAATCGGAGTCGTGCCCAGCACTACAACTCAATCTCTTGGTGAGGTGGTAAACCAAAAAGATCCTCAGGAAAGACATCCGGGTACTCACAAACTACCCTCAGCAACTCTACCCGAACTATATCACTCTCTGCTCCCAAGAATACAGCAAGAAAGAGGCTAAGCTCACCCCAACCACGCGGGTCACAAACCGGTAACAAAGTGCTATCAACCCGATCTCCCAAGAAATAAAAGCAGTCACCGCTCGAGGTACACGCAGTAACCCTCTGACTGTAACAATCTATAACAGCCTGATACGTAGACAACCAATTCATACCAAGTATAACATCAAAACTCAACATATCAAGCAAAGCAAAAGAAAATGGAAGTCGACGACCGGAAACCTCTTTATCACAACCCCGACATCCCTGTTCTAACACAATCTCACCTCCAACCAGTGACTCTACGTAGAGTGGCAATGTTAACCGAGCCAACTCTAACCCCAATGCCGATGCAAATGCGGATGAGATAAAGAAATGTGATGCACCCGTGTCAATCAATATATTGGCAATAGAATTGCAGAACAAGAAGGTACCTCTCACAACCAAAGGTGCTGGCACTAACTTTGGCGTGGTAATAGCATACACACGCCTAGTACATCTTTGATCCATCTGCTCCCCTTTGGAAGCATAAACCAGATGTACAGACTGAGCCGAAGAGGCTCCCAGAGTGGTCCTTGAGGGCTGTGCTGATTGTGCTAGCTGGTGACTCTAAGTCTGCCTCGATCTAGATGCACCAGGTGTGCCACCCAACTGTGGACAGTACCTCTTCATGTGTCCTGCCTGTCCACACTGAAAGCAAGTCAAAGACTACCCCCTCCCCTGACTCTGGCTCGGTGGACGGATTGAAGACTGAGCAGACCCCTGTCCTCCCCATTCTATGGGTAAGAAAAGGACTTGTGACCCAACTAGCCACACTTGAAACAAGAAAATCCTCCCTGGCCACCTCTTCCTTCCCCTGAACTCGGCACTAGAAAAGTGGACCTGGACTGTGCCCCATGAGACTACTGTGGTGTAAAACCCCTTTGCCATTTGCTGTCTCGGGCCTCACCTTACATCTCCTGGCCTTTCTGCCTAAAATCCCTCATCTCCCTCTCTTTAGCTCCTAACCGAGTTTCCATATGTGCCGCTGCCTCAACAAGATGGCTATACTCCCTTGTCATAGACCCGCCCACACAGTAGGCAAGCTTATCTCTTAGTCGAGTCTCAAACTCGATACAACGGCTCTCCTCTGTCGCCACAAGCTCAGGAGCAAATCTAGACAACCTAGCAAAAGTGGCCTCGAACTTCGCCACCGGTGTGCCAAGCTGCTGTTTGAGGTTCTTGAACTGTTCCCTCAGCTTCTCTTTGATTGTAGAATGCAGATACTTCTCCTGAAAGGTGTTGACAAAGGCCTCCAAGGTCACCCCAATACGTCCTCGCACGTATTTCGACCTCTGACCCGCTTCTCCCTTCAGCTGCTGAAAGGATGCTAAGGTCACTCTCAGAGCATTGTCCTCAATGTCTAGCGTCTCGAACGTCTTAACCGTCTACTCTAGCCACTCATCAGCCTTTAGTGGCTCCTTAGGATCTCCCATAAAAATATCCGGATTGGTCCGAAAGAACCCCTTTTTAGCAGGAGTGGTCCTATCTCTGCAACTAGGGCAGCTAGGGCTTGTGTTAGGTTCTCAGCCCTCAGTATGTTCAGTGCCCTTTCTATCTCTCATGCCAAAGCACCCATGGCCTTTTGCCCAGCTGGCTCAGCTATATTTTCCTGCCCTATCCTCTCCTCCTGCGCCGAAATCTTTTTCGATATTGGCATCTCCTGCCTCCTGGGCCTACCACGCCTACCATTGCTCCTTCCGCGTCCTAACATCCTAATAAAGGTAACACTCGAAATTAGCACAATCACAATTGTGCTGAAGCTAACTCACTCACGTCCTAGGGCAATGGACAACAATTAATTCATTCCACATAGGCACATAGTCACATAAACACATACAAATTTTCTTTCTAGATAGTGATTGTCCCATGACATTGCTAGAGTTCCAATTAGAAATAGCAGTGATCAAGTGCTCTTTTGACTGGACTTCCAGGAACTCACAAACCCAATCAACATCTTAGAAATCAAACCCCATACCCATATAATCACATAAACATGTTATCACATAGCACCTCATCATGTAGATATCTCTATCAAGCGAGATAAACCCACTATGGTACTAACCACTCCCTATGTACCCAAAGTATTCGAACCCAGTACGCTTTGATACTAAGTTGTAACGACCCGAAAAATTGGACAGGGTATATCTATTTATACAACAAACCCACCTGATAGACAAACATATATATATAGCTAACTATTTCATACATCCATTTCCATTTAATCCCAAATGCCAAATATGTGCTATTCACATCTCAATGCCCCAATTCCAATCCCAAGCATGCATTTTACAACAGTATGAAATAGAAGCCAAACAGATAATAAGTGCCCTATAGGCTTACAAACTTATCCAAGGACATTCTTGGTTAAATAAAACAGAGTTTCAACTCAATGCAAATACAGCCCTAGGTTTACATTCAATAAATAACCATAAAACAAAAATGAAGTCTCAGCTCGAAGTCCTCCAAAGTCAATGCCTTGGCGAAGGCATAACACATGAATTTGAAATGGTTTTCCTTACAGGGTGAGCTACAGCCTAGTAGAGATGTA